AAAGTTAGAGATAAAGGTGTGCCAATACAAGAGAGAGCAATTGAGAGAGATTGAGAGAGAATTCTCCTTGTAATTCTTCATCTTTTTCATAGTGATTTTGGGGGCCAAATACCTCCGATCTCTACCGTAGGTGCCAAAGAAGAATGAGAAGAAGCCCGAAAAAGAGCAAAAAGGAACATAACCTCCGATACGATAAACAGAAGAAAACCATATCGAAGTCCTAATTGTACGTAAATTATGTTCTCGTACCCAAGCCCTGAAAAAAAAAGATCAAGAGTCTTGTGGAGGAGAATTTCACACTTATCAGAGTCTCGCGAAATCTTCCCTCTTTGCCTTCAATTACATCTGAAAATGACTTGTAAACTTTATTATGACCGTCCCTTATTGGTTGTCCGCGAATTCCGTTATCAAGAAGTGTATCCACGGACCCGATTCAATATGATCGAGAGGTAATTCATCCATTGAATTTACAGGCGAAAGATTTTTCATCTCTATGGGATTAAATCCCGAGTTATTGCGAAGTAAAAAAACGATGAGATTATGGAAGTAAATATTCTCGCATTTATTGATACTGCACTGTTCATTCTAGTTCCAACTATATTGAGTATCATACATGTAACGATCATAGTAGGGATCGTTACTCTTAGATCCCTTATTCCGATAACTATAAAAAGAACTTTCTAGTGGTGTGCTTCATGGACATAACCCTAAGATTTGGGTGAACCATGTATATCTTGTGTTCTTGTGTGTGATTTTTTTTATTCTTCGTGATTGCTTGTTTATTCCTTGAACAATATTATTTATTTTGCGTTTCCTCCACAACAACTGGTGTCAAATCCAGTTGATTGTGTAGTGCAACTCTAACATGCACCACAACAAAGACGATTTATATATTCTTGAGTTTAATTATATTTTTCTTTTTGGACTAACTTTTGATTGTCTTATTTTTTACTATATTGAATCTTTTTTATTATTTGTATAAGGTATTGTGTGTATATATGAAAGTTGCAACAATATGGTTCAAAGTTAAAGGAAAGAAATTATTTAAATAAAGTACTTGTTTTTAGGGAAATAATTTTTAGTATTTTGGAATAAGTGTTTGGAGGGCATTTTCGACCTAAACAATAGTTATTGATGCATATGTAATTATTTTACTTAATTCAACCAAAGTGAAAAATAAACTATTAAAATAGATCAGTTTGTTATTTAAGGGTCTTAAAGTTTCATCCATTGATGTATACTAAATTAGGCTATTCAAAGTATCTAGAAAGAGATAAGAGTTAGCAGTGAAATAAAGAGCCGCCGCCTTGACGACTTGGAAGGTCCATCTTATCTATGCAAGCGGTGGGAATCACGTAGAACATTGCGCCACCATATGAACATGGTATATAGGAGAAATATGAGGCCCAAACTGAGAAGTGTTGCACCCCCTTGAAATGGGTTCTTTTCTCTTCTCTATTTCTCATTCTATTGAAGAATCAATATTATAAGTAGGTTTGTAAAAAAATTATGTAGGATCCAGGCATGATATTAGAGAAATTCTTCAAAGCTCCTTTTTTGTGTGTTGAGTGAGTAAAAAAAGTAAAGAGCCATTGGTTTAATTGGTAAAACATTTAATTATTTAAATTTGTGTGCTAGTGTTCAAGTTCCTCTTTCATTAATTTGCAATAAATAAATAAAATAATTCATAAACCCTAACCAAAATCAAAGTCAATTGTTTCGACAATAAATGACGTGTCAAGCAATAGGATGGCTTGGTTTGGGACGTTTAATACTTCTATTCTTGTAACTTAGCTGTGATTGTTAGGAGGATATTAAACTTCTTTATGTATTGGTTTGTTTCATTTGAAAACAACGGAATTTTCGCATGTAGAAGTAAGGCCATGTATATCAAGTCTGTCTTTCTACATGTAAAGATAAGGTTACGAATATCAAATTTTTTCGAGACTTCACAATAGTAGAAGTTTCGTACGCTGAATTTGCTCTTTTAATACATATATATTTCATGTTTAGTACATTTATATAAAACTTTGAGTGCACCAATTAATGTGTATTTTATGATCACACAACTCTCTGGAGTGTATTTTTCAAAAGCTTAAGAAGTATATGATAATACACTCTCAATAGATTTTCATCATAAAGAGAGTCATGAACCCTCCATATTTACTTCTGCCAAAAAAAAAAAAAAAAAAAAAAAACTCTTCATATTTAATAATTGAATTGCAACAATTCTTTTTTGAGATTTGTAAAAATTTAAATACATTTTGTAATTTATTGATTAAAATGAAGGGTTGGTGAAAGAACTTTCTTAAGAGCCACTTTTGGTGCCGGAATGTACTGTGTTTAATATACTTATATACGAGTGCATAACTGTACCCAGCAATTATATAGATAAAGGAGTGGGACTCGGACCAATCTAAGTCATAAACGTTTATTTAAATAAGGTTTGATTCAACCTAAAGGTATACAGAGTTTGACCATACTTCAAGTTAAAAGATTAATGGAACATTTAAGTGGCTTAATTGATAAAACGTCCAATTATCTGAGTAGGTGTGTCAATGTTCAAGTCTCATTCCCCTAATTTACAAGAAAAAAAAAATTAGAGTAGACAGTTTCATTGATTCAACTTGTTTTTAGTTTATGATTGGTTTAGTTCTTATTTACCCTCTAAACAAAATTAAACTCAATTGTTCTATAAATAACGTTTCAAGTAACAGGATGGCTTGGTTTGGGGAGGAAAACTGTTGTAATGTTTCTAAAACCTTCTATTCTTGTAACTTGGTCGTGAATGGAATAGTCTCTACATATGGAAGTAAAAATGTGTACATCAATTCTATCTCTCCGCGTGTAAAGATAATCTGCATATAAAGATAAGATTCCGTATATTAAATATTCCCGAAACTCCGCAATAATAGAAGTGTTTGCTATTTTAATACATATATATATATACCATGTTTAGTGCATTCATATAAAACTTTGAGTACTCAAAAATCAAAATGTACACGTACCACATTTAGTGTATTCCTATGCTGCTCAAGTGCATAGATGTACCATTTTTAGAGCACATCAATATATATAATGTTGCGACATATTCATATTGTAATGCTGCAAATTTGAGGTTAGAGACGTTTGGTTTTGTGAAAACTATGAACGACAAGCATGGTTTGTCGAACCAACCAATCAAATCTATGCTCTTTTTTGTTCTGTCTATTTAAAATAAAAATAAGTGTATTTAGTTAGGAGCGAAAGCAGGACTCTTGAAAGATTCTAACAGTTGACCAACTTTTATTAAAAAATTAAAAAAAAAAATCTTTCAACAATAATATATAATATATTACATATTGGATTATTTAGAATTTCGACTAAATTTATATTTGTTTGTGTCAATATAAAACCTTTCATTTCAACATTAAAGAAATATACAATATATTAATTAAAATAAAACAAAAAGGTGGCATATAAATAATTAATATCTATGATCATATTATATTCATGTTATATATTATTTATGTTGATTCACAATTTTCTTTTACTTTTGATTTGTATTATTTTTTCTAAATTTATTTTCTATTTTCATATGTTAAATTTCGTATGAATTTTTATTTATTTTAAGCTTAAATCTATTATTTTTCATTAATATACAAAAAAAAAAAAAAAAAATGTAGTTACCAAGCCCTCTTTTTTCATGACGACTTAGAATTTACAAATAAGTTATTTGTGTTAAATATTCTTTAAAAATTTAATAAAATTCAGTAAAAATTTATTTTATTAAATTATATTATAAAAAGTAACGTATTAGTCATGCTTGTAAAATTGACTTCATTACATTGCACTACATTTGCAACTGTGAAAAGTCAAGTCACCAGTCTTGAAAGAAAAAAACCTAGTCCAGTTAATTTGACAGTTTGTATGTCCTTGACGGGTCTGCATAACTTTTATTTATTTATTATTGATTGACTTGTAAAGTCTGTAATACTAAAAGTAAAAGAATTAATGTGCCTAATAAAAAAGTGTGAATGCATATATATATATATATATATATCAACTGCATAAGACACGCACCATTTACGTCAGGAATGTGACTCGAAAGCGCGACCTTAAAAATATACCTCCTAAATCTCTATCAATGTCCCTGAAGGCATAAATGCATTACTTAAGTTTGCAAAAATGTGTTATATATATATATATATATATATATATATATATGCTAATGTTTTTCAAAGTAAAACGTGTGAACTAGACTAAGCCTTCATTAAGAATACATCTCACGGCTGATCTAGACTCATTAAGAATACATCTCACACGGCTGACGTAGACTCATTAAGAAAAGGCCATTCTACACATATCCGTGTACATTGGTTGATTTATTTGAATTAGACCTCATGACTAGATATATACATACATAAATGCATGTGTGTGTACATATATATTCTTTTTGTTTTAATTTAGAAGTCACTTTTAAAGACTAGAAATTTTTAATGAAATTTGTGAGACATGCTTGTTTTGCAGGAAAGTTATTAATTTTTCCTTTTAAGTTTTAAATATTGTTGTTTAAAATTTTAAAGTGGAAAGATGTAAAATATATTGTTTGAAAAAATAAAATAAAATAATTATTTTGGGACAAATCAAAATAAAAAACATGACATTTTTATTTTATTTATTTATTATTATTATTTTTTTTTGAGACAAAGGAGTATATTCTTTGATCTATCAATGTAGAAGTGTTGATTGTGATGCACAATCTTCAACACATGTTTTTATTCTTTTAATGGGGAAACATGAGAAGACGTGACGGTTGAATTTTTCAGTCAATTTTTCAGTCAATTAGAAATTTAAAATGTTCTAGATTCAAAGAATTATTTTCTTCCCTTTAACTAAATTTCCACATATAAGACACATAAAACCATTTCCGCGTCCCCTTCCTTCTTCTAGAGTCAAATTGACAAATATCACAATATATTGACCCTTTTTTAATTTTTTTTCTGCAAGCCAAACACTAAGTCACCAATATTTGGCCTCTGAAAATTCACATCCTCCACCTATATAAATACACCCGCCATTTCATCTAAATGAAACATTGCCAACAAAGAGATTCATACACATACACATATACACATACACACACACAATTACACACACAACATTATTGAAATATGGGTGCTTTTGTGATTCCTCGTGGCCTCCTCATTGTTCCTATTCTTGTTCTTCTGTTTGTGTCTTATAGCTCAGCAACAGAAGTGGTCACTATTGATGTTTACAAAGCTAAAGCTCTTCTCCATTTAGGATACACTTATATTGATATCAGGTGAGAAAATTGTTTTTCTTACATTTCATGTACTTTATATATATATATATTTGTAATATTTGGTGTTTTTTTAATTTAAGGTTTTTCTGATTTTTGGAAAATGATTGAATTTATAGGACTGAAGGACAGTATAAGAATGGTCACGTAGATGCAAAGAAAATTCTGAACATTCCTTACATGTTCAATACCTCCGAAGGTGATTTTAGAATCAACTTTTATAATATAGACATTTTCTTTTTTGTTTATTTTTTTAATACATATTTTTAAGATTTTGATTAAATAATGATTGATAAAATTCTTTTGGAATTTTGAATTTCAGGTAGGGTGAAAAATCCTGATTTTGTGAAGCAGGTTTTATCAGCTTGTGGCAAATATGCTCGTCTCGTCGTGGTAATATATTTATACATATATATATACACTCACAAATAAATAAAGAAAATAGAAAAAATGGTATACACATTTATCTTACATTTAATTGGTGGTTTTTCTTTTTCTTTTTATGCTTGAAGGGTTGTCAAACTAGATCGTGGTCCATTAATGCAACTACCGATCTTGTTAATACTGTAAGTTTATCTTCCTTTTTCTTCACCTCTTATATTCAAATAGAATAAAAATTAATTTGTGATTTTACATTTTTATTTTTATATACTTTTTCATCAAAATTTTAATTGGAATACCATTTTGTAAGTCTATCATTATATGAAAATTTTGCTTAACCAAAATTAAAAGAAAATTGCAATTCATTGTAAAGTAACATTTAAAAAATAAAAAAAAACATTCTTGGTTGGTATGTTTTATTTACGTGTTTATATGTGTAAATGAGTCATCATTTTTATGAAACTGCAGGGTTTCAAGCATGTATTCAACATGGATGGGGGATATGCAGCATGGGTGGAGAAAGGGTTCCCTGTGAAAAAACTGTAAGTAGAAAAATACTTTAATATTTTTAAAATATCAATAATATAATATTATATACGGACTGATTAAAAACTGACACATAATAAATTAAAAAAAAATTCAAAATCTCTCCGATTGTGAAAGTGTCTAAATCGCATTTTTATCACATCCATGTCATGACTAAAATAATATATTTATATTTGAATATACTTTTAATCGTATCCGACACCCCCCAGTGAAGTTTCCTTTTCCGGGGTCGCATACACCTGAGAACAAAATTATAGCAATTTGGGCCAGCTAGAAAATCAGCTTTATACCCAAACCAAAAAGCCCATACCAGAAGCCCAAAGGAGCCTGACAAAGTCCCAAAAAAGATCCTGATCCATAATTTGAATGCACCTTCATAAAACGAAACAACCAAGGCGGGAAACATCAACAGAGCAGTTCAACCTTCCCAAATTTGCAGAGCTAGGTCAAGAAGAGGTTTTTGGAACTGGGATCAAAGCAGTTTGGGAGATTCTAAGTTTCTGAAATTCCTCTTGCACGATTGCGATTAGACTCACAGATTAGGGTTTTTGATTGATGGCTACAAGAATTAGAGAAAACCTTAGCATTTCTTTCATTCCATATGTGATACACCAAACTGGCCAAGGTAAGTTACCAAACCATGATTTTACTGGATTTTTTCTTTTGTTTCCAATTGGATGAAGCCCATATTAGGAATTCATGCCAATTTCTAGGGTTTGTATGGAAACCACATTTTTATTGAATCGCAGACCAAAATTTCATGAGAAAAATCACATTAATGGAACAAATGATTGTGAGATTCAGGGGCTTTAAGACATAACACACAGACATTTGGTTGCATGAGGTAATTTAGGCTAAGTCTATTAGCTCGCCATAGGCAAAAGGAGTGTTTTGGGATTTTTTTTTGTTGAACCAAACCAGAGTATGCCTATGAACACTGAATTATGTGTAAAGGATATGGTTTTGATGGTGGGGTGTTTCCATGAGATGACATCATCTAGGTTAGTATTCGAGTGAGGCGGGTTGACAAAGTTGACTAGGTTGGAGACAAGATTAGCTAACCTTCTCGGCCGAGCCCATTGCTCATTTGAGATGATGGTTGAAACCTTGTAATACCTGTTGATACCCCAGCCACAACCACATGGTAGCCAGTGGTTGAAGAGAATATGAGTGTCGTTCCCATTGTTGACTTGGTGATGGATAAATATTCTAGCAATATCTCTAGATTGGAGCAACACTAGGAACATTGATGTTCCAAAAGCTTCTACCTTTGATAAGATGTTTGTTTGTCCATTTTACCCAGAAAATAGAAACCAGATATGTCTAACCACTGCATCTCTGTTCCAGATGTTCATTTTAGCAAATTTACTAGAAGGTATATACAAATTTACCAGATTCTACCAATTAAGTAAATAAAAAAGAACTGTGATATTTTCTACCATATTCTTAAGTTTTATCCCTTTGTAACTCTAAAGTCTTAACTTGTACAATCTTCAACCCATGGGTCTATTGATGAATTGAAAATCATATGTTGATCAAACAACTGAAATTTTAATTCAATTAAAATAAATCAAATGTTCTAGGTAAAAAATATTTTTTCTTTGTCCTTTAACCAAATTCCACAGTAGAATTTTTCATTCAATGAAAGATCAGATCCTCCACTTGTATATATACCCACCAATTCATCTTAATATAGCACTGCCAACAAAGATACATATAAGCTATACACATACATTTATATATACAATAATATTGGAATATATATGTGTGTTTTTCTGATTCCTCGCGGGCTTCTTATTATACCTGTTCTTCTTCTGTTTGTTTCTTATAGCTCTGGAACAGAAGTGGTCACTATTGATATTTACAAAGCTAAAGCTCTTCTCCATTCCGGATATGGTTATCTTGATATCAGGTGAAAGATTGGCCTCTCTTACAATTCAAGAATTTTTGAACTTTTTATTTTTATTTTTATATATATATAATTTTTGGGTTTTTAAAGTTAAGGTTTTTCTGATTTTGGAAAATGATTGAATTGATAGGACTGACGACGAGTTCAAAAATGGCGTTGTAGATGTAAAGAACATTCTAAATATCCCTTACTTGTTGAATACCCCTGAAGGTGATTTTAGAATCAACTTATATAATATAGCCATTTTCTTTTCTGTTTTTGGTTTTTATTTATATTTCTCAGATTTTGATTAAATAATGATTGATCAAATTTTTTGTTGGAATTTCGAGTTTCAGGTTTTGTGAAAAATCCTGACTTTGTGAAGCAAGTTTTATCAACTTACGGCAAATATGCTCACTTTGTTGTGGTAATATATTTATACATATATATACTCACGAATAAATAAAGAAAAAATAGAAAAAAATGTATACACATTTATCTTGTTTTTGATTAGTGATTTTTTCCCATTCTTTTTATGCGTGAAGGGTTGTGAAGTTGGATTGAGGTCTCTTAATGCAACTACCGATCTTGTTAATGCTGTAAGTTTATCCTTCTTTTCTCTTTACCTCTTACATTCAAATAGAATAAGAAATTTATTTGTGCTTTTACATTTCCATTTTTATATATATATATATATATTTTTCCATCAATTTTTTTTTATTTTAATACCATCAATTTCTAATTATGTTACAACGGTAGACTGTTTTATTAGTATGAAATTGTAAAACCATAGTCCTTTTGAGCTTCATTTATGCGTGGAGCAAATGAGTCATTGTTTTTATGAAACTGCAGGGTTTCAAGCATGTGTTTGATATGGCTGGGGGTTATGCTGCATGGGTGGAGAGTGGATTCCCTATGAAGAGGCCGTAAGTGGAAAAAACACTTTAATACTCTTGGAATATCAATGACATGGTGTCGCTAACTGATTAAAAGCTAACATGCAGTGATAGGACACCTAAAGTAAATGCATTTTTATTTTAATTGAATTTTTCCATTCAATTAAAATAGGTCAAATTTTATAGATAAAAAGAATTATTTTCTATGTCCTTTCAGCAAATTCCACAGTTGAATTTTTCATTCAATGGAAGCTCAAATTCTGCACTTGTATATATATACACCAATTCATCTAAATTGAGCGAATATGGGTGCTGTTGCGATTCCTCGTGGGTTTCTTATTCTTCCCGTTCTTCTTTTGTTTGTGTCTTACAGCTCAGGAAAAGAAGTGGTCACTATTGAAACTTACAAAGCTAAAAATTTTCTCCATGCAATATATGGTTATATTGATGTCAGGTGAAGGATTGTTCTCTCTTACAATTCATGTATTTTTTAATTTTATTTTTATAATTTTTGGGGTTTTTAGTGTAAGTTTTTTCTTATTTTGGGAAATGATTGAATTGATAGTACTGAAGAGGAGTTCAAGAAGGGCCATGTAGATGTCAAGAGCATTATAAATATCCCTTACATGTTCAATACCTCTGAAGGTGATTTTAGAATCAACTCATTTATGTAGCCATTTTCTTTTCTGTATTTGGTTTATATATATATTTCTCAGATTTGGATTAAATAACGATTGATCAAATTTTCTGTTGGAATTTGAATTTCAGGTATGGTGAAAAACCGTAACTTTGTGAAGCAGGTTTTATCAGCTAGAGGCAAATATGCTCATCTCGTCGTGGTAATATATTTATACATATATATTACTCAGAAATAAATAATGAAAAATAGAAAGGCATACACATTTATCTTGTATTTAATTGGTGGTTGTTTCCTTTCCTTTTTATGTGCGAAGGGTTGTCAAACTGGATCCAGGTCTATTAATGCCAGTACTGATCTGGTAAAAGCTGTAAGTTTATCCTTCTTTTCTCTTTACCTCTTACATTCAAACATTATAAGAAATCTAATTGTGCTTTTACATTTCTATTTAGATTTGTGTTTTTTGAATACCATTTTGTAAGTCTATCAGTAATATGAAAATTTGCTTGCCAAAAATTAAAAGAAAATTGCAGTTCACTGTAAAGTAACTCGTTTTTAATTTTTTAAAAAAAGAAGTATAAAGTAAAATTTACTTTCTAAGATTTGTTGGAAGGTTTGTCGTTGGATATAGGACTAATTAATCCATTTCTAATTATGTTCCAATGTAGAACCATATTCCTTTGGAGCTTCATTTATGTGTTGGGTGACTAAATGAGTCATTGTTCTTGTGAAATTGCAGGGTTTCAAGCATGTGTTCTATATGGATGGAGGCTACGCTGCATGGGCGAAGAATGGGTTCCCTGTGAAGAAGATGTAAGTGGGAAAAATAATTCAACGTTTCTTGAATATCTCTCTCGAATATCATTCACATGATATCATTGACCGATTAAAAGTAGACATGGAGTAATAGGACCTACTGAAGTAAATGTATTTTTACTTATGTGACAATATATAATTGATTGATAAAATGCGTTTATAATTCAACACGTAATGTTTAATAATATTCTTGTTCTTCTTCTTCTATTTGTCTTATAGCTCGGGAACACAGGTGGCCGCTATTGATATTTACAGAGCTAAAGCTCTTCTCCATTCTGGATATGGTTATCTTGATATCAGGTGAAAGATTGCTCTCTCTTACAGTTCATGTTATTTTTTTAAAAAAAATTTGTTATAATTTTTGGGTTTCTTAATTAAAAGTTTTTCTAATGTTGGAAAATGATTGAATTGATAGGACTGAAGACGAGTTGAAGAATGGCCATGTAGATGTGAAGAACATTCTAAATATCCCTTACTTGTTAAATACCCCTGAAGGTGATTTTAGAATCAACTCATATAATATAGCCATTTTCTATTCTATTTTTGTTTATATATATATTTATATTTATCATATATTGATTAAATAATGATTGATCAAATTTTCTGTTTGAATTTTGAGTTGCAGGTTTTGTGAAAAATCCAGACTTTGTGAAGCAGGTTTTATCAGCTTACGACAAATATGCTCATTTCGTCGTGGTAAAATATTTATATATATACACTCTCACCAATAAATAAAGAAAAATATAAAAAGGTATACACATTTATCCTGTATTTATTTGGTGATTTTTCCTATTCTTTTTATGCGTGAAGGGTTGTGAAATTGGAGTGAGATCTCTTAATGCAACTACCGATCTCGTTAATGCTGTAAGTTAATCCTTCTTTTCTCTTTACCTCTTATATTCAAATAGAATAGGAAATCTATTTGTGCTTTTACATTTCTATTTAGATTTTTTTTTTGTTCATCAAATTATTTATTTGAATACCATCTTATAAGTCTATCAGTAATATGAAAATTTTGCTTGACCAAAATTAAAAGAAAATTGCAGTTCGCTGTAGAGTAACTTTTAAAACCAATATATATATATATTGGTTGATTTTGTTCTATTCTTTTTAAACTCTGATTAAGGTAAAGTAAATTTTACATGCTAAGATTTTTTGGAAGGTTTGTTTTTGGATATAGCACAAATTGATCCATTTCTAATTTTTTTGCAATGTTAGACTATTTTATTAGTATGAAATTGGAAAAATATATTCCTTTGGAGCTTCATTTATGCGCTGAGTGATTAAATGAGTCATTGTTCTTATGAAACTGCAGGGTTTCAAGCATGTGTTCAATATGGCTGGGGGTTATGCAGCATGGGTGGAGAATGGGTTCCCTGCAAAGAGGCCGTAAGTGGGAAAAATATTTTAGTGCTCTTGGAATAGTAACGACATGATATCACTGACTGATTAAAAACTGACACATAGTAATAAGACCCATTGAAAGAAATGCACTTTTACTTTTGTGACAAGATATAATGAGTTGATAAAATGTATTTAAAAGATGACACATTATCAGAAAAAAGTATTTCTAAAACTTGCATGATCATTTTGTAGATTAGTACAAGCTCAGTTACCATGTTAAAAACCATTTATTTATGTATACAAAAATATCAGAATATGGGTGCTTTTGCGATTCCTCATGAGCTTCTTATTGTTCCTGTTCTTTTGTTTGTGTCTTATAGTGCAGGAAAAGAAGTGGTCACTATTGAAACTTACAAAGCTAAAAATTTTCTCCATGCAATATATGGTTATCTTGATGTCAGGTGAAAGATTGGTCTCTCTTACGATTCATGCATTTTAAATTTTTTTTAATTATGTTTGGGATTTTTAATTTAAGGTTTTTCTGATTTTGAAAAATGATTGAATTGATAGGACTAACGAAGAGTTCAAGAATGGCCATGTAGATGTAAAGAACATTACAAATATCCCTTATAGGTTCAATACCACCGAAGGTGATTTTAGAATCAATTTGTATAATACAGCCATTTTCTTTTATGTTTTTGGTTTTTATACACATTTCTCAGATGTTGATTAAATAATGACTCATCAAATTTTCTGTTGGAATTTTGAGTTTCAGGTATGGTGAAAAATCCTGAATTTGTGAAGCAGGTTCTATCAACTTGGGGCAAATTTGCTCATATCGTTGTGGTAATATATTTATACATGCATGTAAATAAAGAAAAATATAAAAAAGACATACACATTTATGATTTTTTTTTTTTTTTTTTCCCTAGTTGGTACTCACACAAGTGTCTCTTCTGAGACTTGAATCTCTGACCTCCCTTTGGGAGGTAAGAGGCCGATACCGCTAGGCCACTGGCTCCTTGGTATACACATTTATGTTGTATCTAATTGGTGGTTTTTTTTACTTTTCTTTCTACGCGTGAAGGGTTGCCAAACTGGATTGACGTCCAGTAATGCATCTTCTGAACTTGTTCATGCTGTAAGTTTATCTTTCTTTTCCCTTGCCTTCTTACATTCAAAATAATACAAGAAACCTATTTGTACTTTTACATTTCTATTTAGATATTTTCCCCATCAATATATATATATATTTTTTAAAATACCATCTTGTAAATTTATCGTATGAAATTGTAAAACATATTCTTTTAGAGCTTCTTATATGTGTTGAGTGAGTAAATGACTGATTGTTCTTATGAAATTGCAGGGTTTCAAGCATGTGTTCAATATGGATGGGGGCTATGCTGCATGGGTGGAGGATGGTTTTCCTGTGAAGAAGCCATAAGTGGAGCTTTAGTCATATGATTTTTGTTACCTAAGAGGCATGAAATAAGAAATATGTATATTTCTATTTCTAAATAATTTTGCTTCACAATTCTTGTATTTTGTATTGTATTATTGATTTTTTCACCCGAAGGATTATACAATAAATTCTTACCAAATTTTATCTCAACATGTATGTTTTACTTTTTTACATTTCCTTTTCTTACTAATCTTTCTTCATCTAGTTACGTGGCGAATGACAATGATATATATATATATAAAAGTAACTTGGTAAAATTGGCGTATTTAATTTGAGAGTCTGACTATCATTATATACAAGAGGAAAATTATCAATATGGAAAGAGAATAAAAATCAAATCCGAATAAAAATCAAATTCCTAAACAAAAGCCTAAACATTAGCCTGTAATAAAGACCCAATAAATCTGTCACAATCATTGAGTCAACTTATAAATATGATTTACAACACTCCCCCTCAAGCTGGAGCAAAAATATTGACCAAGCCCAGCTTGATTATGGAAGATTGGAGAAGAGAAGGTCCAATAGACTTTGTGAACACATCTGCAGTCTATTCTGAAGAGGGAACAAAAATAGGATTATTGATACCTGATCGAACCTTCTCTCGAATGAAGTAAATGTCTATCTCAATATGTTTCGACCTTTCATGTAAGACAGAATCGGAAACAAGCTTAATGGCTGATTTATTGTCACAAAACAGCCTTGAAGAACCCCTTCTCTACAAGACCCAACTTTCCCAAAATTGATTGAAGCCAAAGGAGCTCATAAGTACATTGAGCCATAGCCCGGTATTCAGCTTCAGCAGAGGATCTGGAGACAACAACCTGCTTCTTACTCTTCCATGATGTGAGATGATTACCATAGAAAGTACAGCAGCCAGAGGTAGAACGTCTATCTGTCTTACATCCAACATAGTCTGCATTAGTAAAACATGAGAGTCTAGACTGATTTCCCGAGGCATAGAACAAACCAACGCCAGGGCATGACTTAAGATACCTCAAAATATGGTAGACTGCATCTATATGAGCTGAGCGAAGGACATGCATGAATTGACTAACCACACTAACAGCAAATGTCAAATCGAGCCTTGTATTAGTAAAGTAGATAAGACAACCTACCAAATGTTGATACACAGACAGATCTGGAAGTAATTCCCTTGACTTAATAGAGAGTTTGAGATTGGGGTCCATCAGAGTGGAAGCGGGTCGACACCTAAGCATGCCAGTATCTTGAAGAAGATCCAAAACATATTTCCTTTGAGATAAGAAAATTCCACGACGGGATCTAGTAACCTCAATTCCAAGAAAATATCAAAGGGGACCTAAGTCCTTCACATCAAAGGACTTTTGAAGATGAAGTTTCGCCTGAGCAATCCCTAAAGCATCATCACATGTGATAATGATATCATCCACATATACTAATAAAATAACGCAGTGACCATCATAGCGACGTCGAATAAAGCAAGTATAGACAACATTGCTGAAACGACTAAACCAAGCTCTAGGAGATTGTTTCAGACTATAAAGAGACTTCTGCAGCCGACAGACTTTCCCATCATACTCCCCCTCAGCCCGAAATCCAGGGGGTGGATTTATATATATAGTCTTAAGTAAGTCTCCATTAAGAAATGCATTCTTGACATCTAACTGATGCAGAGGCTAAGAATGGGCAGTAGATAAGGAGATAAACAGTTGCACAAACGTCAACTTTGCCACAAGAGCAAAGGTAGCATCAAAGACTTTGCCCGGAATATGAGTAAAGCCTTTTGCCACTAACCGAGCCTTATACCGATAAATAGAACCGTCAGCTAAGTACTTCACAATAAAGACCCATTTGCAGCCAGCCGTTTTCTCCCCAGCAGGTAAAGTAACAAGTTCCCATGTATTATTATACTGTAAAACATCCATTCCTATTGTTATGGCAGACACCCAATTGGGATTCTGGAGGGCCTCTGACACTGATCAAGGGATAGAAACGGTCCCAATCTTGTCCAGGAATGATTTATATGCACCTGAAAGACCATCATAGGAGACATACTGGGAAATAAGGTGGTTAGTGCTACTAGAGAAACCATACCAATTAGGAGGGTGACGATCACGGGTAGGATAACGGAATGTATGCTTAGGAATGGTAGGAGCCACAAGAGAATGAGAATTACCTGGACCTGGTTCTGAAGATAATTTTGGCAAGGGAGGTTGAGTGCGATGGTGACGAGAGTAAACCTGCAAAGGTGGAGGGGAACCCTACATGGATGGAAAAGGAGATTCCAGGACAGTGTGATTTTCAAAGAGAAGAATAGGACGGGCAATATGAGAGATCTCCTTCTCCAGACCAAAAGAGAGAGAATCATGTATCATAGAATTAGTACTATAAAAAGGAATAGTTTTATGAAATGTCACATGAAGAGAATAATACATATGTTTGGCCACAAGATCATAACAACGATAGCCGTTTGACATAGCAAAATACACCAAGAAAATACCCTAATGGATTTATCATCAAGTTTATGATGAGAAAGACTACGGTTATGAACAAAACAAGTACAGCCGAAAATACGAGGTAAAAGCTGAAACAATATATAATCAGGCTAGAAAATCTGAAGTGGGGCCTTTCCACCCAAAACTTGACTAAGAGTACGATTAATCAGAAAAACAGCTGTAAGAACATCCATATGCCAATAGAATTTATGCACATGCATACCACTCAAAAGACATCGGACCACAGACATGAGATGACAGATTTTGCGTTTAGCCACACTATTTTGCTCAGGAGTATAGGGGCAAGTGAGTTGATGTAAAATTCCCTTTTTATTAAGTTCAGTCCGGAACTCATTCAAAACATATTCACGTCCATTATCAGAACAAATATTACGGACAATAGTGTTATACTGGGTTTTGATCATTTGAAGAAACTGGGTAAATAAAAGAAGCATATCACATTTTTTTTTCAATCAATAAACTCAAGTACAACGAGAACAATCATTAATAAAGGTCACATAATATCGATGCCCAAAGAAAATAGTAACTGGGGAAGGGCCTCAAACATCAGAATGAATAAGATCAAACATATTAGGAGCACGACTCATATGAGAAATATAGCTAGTTCTAGTATGTTTAGAAAGCTCAAAAACTTCACATTGAAACTTATAGTCCTTACATGCTTTATTTAACGAAGGAAACAATAAACATAGATACTGAAAGTTTACATGCCCTAAACGTGCATGCCACAGACCAAAAGTGCGAAAAGAAACATCATAAGTACTAGAAGCAGGTAGGATAGAAGCTTGAAGACCCGTTTCTGGTAGTTCCCCAAAGTAATGAAGCCCATCACGTTCATAACCCCTGCCAAAAACCCTCTTCGAAAAAAAGTCTTGCAATGACAGTGATCTAGTAAGAATATAACTGCACATTGGAGATTTTTTGCAAGCTAGCTAACAAATAAAAGGTTAAAGGCAAATTTAGGTACATGAAGGACAGATGAAAGAGTACTATCAGGAGATAGACAAACAACACCCTTACTGTGAATGTAAGATGTAGAGCTATTCGTAAGATACACAGATTGGGTAACAGGTATGATATTGGAAGAAAAAATTGATAACTCGTTAGTCATGTGATCATTGGTCCCAGAATCTAGAACGCAAGTAGGCTACTTGGCCTTAACATGAAATGCAGTAGGACTACCTGTAGCAATAATGGCAGTGGGAGCAATTGAATGAGCACCAACTCTAGAAGCACGAAAGCCAAGCTGGTACTAGATCCGCCTAATTTGAGACTGAAGATGGCTTAGTCAAGGAAATACAGTAGATCCACCAGTAGTAGCAGAAGTGTCTACAATAGCAGCAATACTAGAAGAACCATTTTCAGATAAACGGTTCCTACAAAATTTCTGCTTCAGTTCAGGATGAAGTTTGAAGCAGCAAGCCTTAACATATCCAACCCCTTCACAATGGTGATAAATAATTTTCCCTCTAAAAATACGTGATCCAAAGTTAGCTGCAAAAGCCATACTATCCCCAGCAAGGTCAGACACTGGTAGACGAATAAGTGAGAGCTGAATTAAACGGTGTCTGCGTTCTTTACCATCAACAGTAGCAAAGGCTTCTAATAGGGATGGCATTGGTGATGCATTTAAGATCTGAGACTTAAGTGGTTCAAATTTTAGGCGTAATCCCATAAAAAACTGATAAATATGCTGATGATCAAGACGTTTGACAAGAAGAGAGGCTGCCTCGGGAGGAAATTCAATAAGAGGATCATATTGAGCCAGTTCCATCCAACAAGTTCTCAAATACCCAAAGTAAATCAGCTACAGACAAATTCAGGCCTTCTTGCGATGACTAAGCAATATCTTGGTATAACTCAAAAATACGAGCATCATTCCTAGAATGAGTATACGTTTGATTCAAAGCAGTCCACAAGTCATGAATAGAGTCATAAACCATGAATATATTATAAATTTGTTCCTCCATAAAATTAAATATCCATCCTAAAATGGTGCAATTGTCCATATCCCATTGAACATATTTAGGATCTTTAATATCTGACATCTTTTCAGTACCCAAAAACTACCTTGATTTGTCTCCTCCACCAACATAAAGGCGGAGGGAACGAGCCCAGGATGCAAAATTACGACAATTCACCAGCACACTAGTAACTCGTTGAGTCGGTTTGTGTTGCGCCGAAGAGAAAGTTTCTTTATTATTACTTGAATCAGCCATAATATTAATAGAACAATTCAACAGATCACCAATAATTCAAATAAAGGAGGAATAAACCTGATTTTGATCAAACCAAGAAGTTGCAGACACAGCAGTCCGATCCGAAAATGCTGCCGCAACCCCAAAAAATTACAAACATGTCTTATGATCCTTAATGCATAAAAAAGACTAAGGGAATACCCCTACAGGGGTTGAACCAAGAGGAGATTGGCTCCCCCTAGGATTGTCGCAACAGTGGTCTGAAGAAGAGAGAGGGTCAGTGCAGAAAAGAAATAAGGGAAAGAGGGTCAGTGCAGAAAAGAAATAAGGGAAAGAGGGAAAGGGCTGTAACGAAATAAAGAGAGAGAGAGAGAGAGAGAGAGAGAGAGATCAAAAAAGGCGGTGAAAGAGAGAGGGAGAGGGAAGACATAGGTTTGGGGCTCTGATACCAAAAAATAATTTGGTAAAATTGGCATACTCAATTTGATAGCTTATTTATCATTATATACAAGAGAAAAATTACAAATATGGAAAGAGAATAAAAATCAAATCCTTAAACAAAAGCCTAAACATTAGCTATAATGAAGACCCAATAAATCTGTCACAATCTTTGAGTCAACTTATAGATATGATTTTCAACACACACACACACACACACACACACACACATATATAACATGGTTAAGACTCGAGAAACAAGTTAGACTCGCAAAAACGTCAACCTGAGGCTTGACTGATCCCTAAGAAAAACCATCCATGGATTGTTCATATTGTCCAAATTTTTGGACTTGAACAATTTAGTTGGCTACAGAGAAAATTTATTAATAAACATGGTTGACAAAAATATATATTTAAATTACAATTAATAAACACTTTTGAAATGTGATGAAAAATGTCATACTTTTATTTCTAAAACTGAACAATTTGGTTCATATATATATATATATATATATATATATTTTTTACATTTTTTTCATTACTTGGTCATAATAAAAAATTATTTTTCTTTATGGCACAAAAGAATTGTGTGGAAACAAACCACTTTTGGCAGTTTACCTTCAACAACAATAGTTTATTGCAACTACATCTTGAAACCAAAGTCAACTTGATCTATTTGAGTGAATGCTACATTTAGCTCAAGAGGAAGAATCATCAATCAATTCTTTGTTTTCTCTCTCAGTATAAAAATGATATATATAATCTATTAATGTGAAAGTTTGACATTCATATGCGTTTGACTCACATAAAAATACTCAGACAAATTTGACTTTTGATCACTATAACACCACTTTTCTCATTAGAATAGTGTTTCACTAATACTTCTTTTGGTCGGTAAGAAAAAAATTAAATGAAAAGAAAAGAAGAAAGGATGATTAAGACATTTTTACATAAGAGATTGTGTTTCCTCTTTTTTGTTCGGTGGGATGAAAAAGAATAAAAAAAAAATTGATAATTTAATTTGATCAGATAAAATGAAAGATAAATTTTTAAGTT